GGAGGCCACATCTTCCTGCGTCCTCACATGGTCTTTTCTCTGATGTGTGTTGCTGGTATCTATTCCCCTTTGTCTAAGGACACCAGTCCTACTGGATTAGATACCATTCGTATGGCTTATTTAACCTTCATTACCTCTCTAGGGCCCCATTTACAAATATAGTCACATTGGGAATTAGGGTTTCAACATATGAATTTTGAAGGAACATAATTCAGTTTATAACAGTGTAATGGATGGCACACAAGTTTTAAAATATTCATTTATGTGGTAAAATATAAATAACATACACTATTTTAATCATTTTCTAGTGTATAGTTCTGTGGCATTAAGTACATTCACAATGATCTGCAGCCAGCACCCTTATCTTCTCCAGAAATGTTTCTTTTTCCCAAACGGAAACCCTATACCAATTAAACACTCGCTCTTCCCTCTCCCCCGTTCTCTGGCAGCCACCATTATGCTTTTCTGTCTCTATGAATTTTTTTATTTTAGATGAAGTTTTGCCCTTTTGCAGAGGCTAGAGTGAAGTGGCACAATCTCGGCTCACTGCAACCTCTGCCTCCTGGGTTCAAGCAATTTTCCTGCCTCGGTCTCCCCAGTAGCTGGAATTATAGGCACCTACCACCATGCCCAGCTAATTTTTTTGTATTGTTAGTAGAGACAGGGTTTCACCATGTTGGCCAGGCTGGTCTCCAACTCCTGACCTCAGATTATCCAACCACCTCAGCCTCCCAAAGTGCTAAGATTACACTCGTCAGCCACTGTGCCTCACCTCGTCTCTATAAATTTGACTATTCTAGGTACCTCATATAAATGTAATTATATAACATCTATACTTTTATGAATGGCTTATTTTACTTGGTGGAATGTCTTTAAGGTTCATCCACAGTGCAGTATATGCCAGAATTTCCTTTCTTTTTAAGGCTGAACAATACAAAAATTTTATATTTTGATGAAGTCCAATTCATTTTATTTTTTTGGAGTGAGGGTCCTGGTCTGCTACCCAGGCTAGAGTACAGTGGCACAATCATGGTTCACTACAGCCTTGATCTCCTGGGCTTGAGGGATCCTTCTGTCTTAGCCTCCCAAGTGGCTGGGACAATAGGTGCCTGCCAATAGGCCCAGCTAATCTTTTTTAAATTTTATTTTATTTTTTCCTCTTCAATGTTTTCACAATTTTTAATTTTTTGTCTTTTTTTCCATTTCAACACCCAGCTAATCTTTTAATTTTTTTGTAAACATGGGGATTTCTTTATGTTGCCCATGCTGGTCTCTCAAACTCCTGGGCTCAAGTGATCCTCCTACCTTGGGTCCCCCAAAGTGCTGGAATTATAGGCATGAGCCACTGCACCTGGCCTCAATTAATTTTTTTCTGTTGTTACTTGTGCTTTTGGTCTCAGCTAAGAAACTATTGCCTAATCCAAAGTCATGATTTATACCTGTATTTTCTTCTATGAGTATTTCAGTTTTAGCTTTCCATTTAGGTCTTTGATTCATTTTGAATTAATTTTTATGTATGTGAGGTAGGGGTTTAGGTTCACTCTTTTGCATGTGAAATACAATTGTTCAAGCACCACTTTTTTTTTTTAAATAGAGACAGTATCTCACTTTGTTGCCCAGGATGGCTTTGAATTCCCGGGCTCAAGCAGTCCTCCTGCCTCAGCTTCCCAAAGTGCTGAGGTTACAGGAGTGAGCCACCCCACCCAGCCTGTTTTTTGTTTTTATTTTTGAGACAGGGTCTTGCTCTGTTGCCCTGGCTAGAGAATGGTGCCATTATAGTACAATGCAGCCTTGAACTCCTGGGCTCAAGGGATCTTCCCATCTTAGCCTCCCAAGTAACTAAGGACTACAGGTGTGTGCCACCATGCCCAGCTGATTTTTTAAGTTTTTTGTAGAGACAGCATTTTGCTGTGTTGCCTGGGGTAGTCTGTTATTCCTGTCCTCTAATGATTTACCCGTCTCAGCATCCAAAAGTGCTGGTATTACAGATGTAAGCTACCTACTGTGTCTGGCCTAAACTGTTTTAATGATAGCAAGATTATCTACAGTTAGTTAATGGGTTGGGTGTAAAAGTTGAAACCCCTAAAAGCAGCATATTCTTTTTTTTTTAAAATCATAATAACCAATTATTCTGTTAAATTTTCTCTTTTTCAGGAGTTTTCTCTCCCACAACTTCTATCCTTCTGTTCCAATCTAACTTAGTTAGATTGGAACTTCCAAGAACTAACTTAGATTGTTTTCCTGAATTGGATCTAGTGATTACTGGATGTTGTCAGATACCCTGATTTCTCCCTCATTTTGCTTGAGCACATGTTTAAGTGACTCTTTTTAAAAAACTTTTCTTAAGTTTTTATTTTTTGAGATGGAGTTTTGCTCTTGTTGCCCAGGCTAGAGTGCAATGGTGCAATCTCGGCTCACTGTAACCTCTGTCTCCTGGGTTCAGGTGATTCTCCTGCCTCAGCCACCTGAGTAGCTGCGATTACAGGTGCCTGTTACCACGCCTGGCTAATTTTTGTATTTTTAGTAGAGATGGGTTTTTGCCGTGTTGGCCAGGCTGATCTTGAACTCCAGACCTCAGGTGATCTGCCTGCCTTGGCCTCCCAAAGTGCTGGGATTACAGGCGTGAGTCACTGTGCCCAGACTTTTTTTTTTTTTTTTTTTGAGATGGAGTCTTGCTGTGTCACACAGGCTGGAGTGCAATGATGCAATCTCGGATCACTGCAACCTCTGCCTCCTGGGTTCAAGCGATTCTCCTGCCTCAGCCTCCTGAGTAGCTAGGACCACAGGTGTTCATCACCATACCTGGCTAAGTTTTAAAAATTTTTATAGAGATGGGGTCTCACTATGTTCCCCAGGCTTCTATTTTTTTTTTTTTTTAAAGTTCAGTGACTTTATCTTTCAATACTTTAATTAAATTTATAATTTGGCCAATTTCTTACATTTCAAGATCTACTTTTTTGAGACAGAGTCTTGCTCTGTGGCCCAGGCTGAAGTACGGTGGTGCAATCTTGGCTCACTGCAGCCTCTGCCCCACGAGTTCTAGTAATTCTCCTGCCTTAGCCCCTGGGTAGCTGGGATTACAGGCATCTGCCACCATGCCAGGCAAATTTTGGTATTTTTAGTAGAGTTAGGGTTTCGCCATGTTGGCCAGGCTGGTCTTGAACTCCTGACCTCAGGTGATCTGCCCACCTTGGCCTCCTAAAGTGCTGGGATTATAGGCATGAGCCACTGTGCCCGGCCAAGATCTACTTTTAAATCTTGGATGTTACTTCATCCGTGTATGCCAGCATACTAGTTAGGTTTTCTAAAATCTCTGAAGTTTCTGTTTATCTCCCCGACACTCCACATAGAAGAATTCTTTTTCTTTTTCTTCTGGTGCTGTGACTTGGATGAGACTTCTCTTAAATATCTAATAATTCTTAGTTGTCTGTTCATATATAAGATGAGGCAGTTGGAATGCTGATGAGGAGTCTTGTGACCTTGGGAGATGTCTTAGTCTATTTTATGTTGCTATAAAGGTATGCCCGTGGCTGGGTAATTTATAAAGAAAACGTGTTTATTTAGCTCATGATTCTGCAGGCTGTACAAGAAGCAAGACAGAGGCATCTGCTCAGTTCTGGTGAGGGCTTTTGTGCTGCATCAAAACATGGTGGAGGAGATCAAGGGAAAGTGTCTGTGCACATGCAAAGAGAGATCAAACCCGAGGTGAGTCCTGGTTTTACAACAAACCGAAGGAACAAATCAATTTTCCTGATAATCAATGTAGTTTTGCAAGTGTGAGAACTCACTACTGCAAGAATGACACCAAGTCATTCATGAAGAATCTGCCCCCATGACCCAAACACCTTCTACCAGGCCCCACCTCCCAAGACTATCACACTTGGGATAAAATATCAACATGAGATTTGGTGGAGACAAAAAAAAAAAAAAAAAAAAAAAAAAAAAAAACATATCCAAACCATAGCAGGAATTTCCTGTCGACCTGCCCAACTTCACTTTCAAGTGAAGTAGGAGTGGGTAGGAAACCAGCTACTGTGCTAGGATAAAGAATGCTTTAGTCTTAGGCCATTCAATACTCAGTTGTCCCAAATCTCCCCAGATTATGAGAATGCTTAATTTTAGCCTGCGACAAATGCCTAGACATTGTTTCTGAGCTATAGGGAGGGTTCTGCTCTTCCTTGTACAGACCTTTATTTACTCTACCTGTTCTCAACCCTGCTTCTCACTCTTGCTCTGTCTTATAGGTATCTCCAAATCGCAGTTTCCCTAAAGCACTTCTGGGCTGATATGTCTCCTTCATTTCTGCAATACCATCTACACCCATTCTACATTATGGTTTTCTCCATTTTATTTTGTCAGACCACACTTACTTTTTTTTCATGTCAATTAAAAAAACTATCTTCTGATGGCCCCCTCCTGATTTTCTATCTTGTATCATTTTCATTTATCATCATTTAATTGGTTTTCAGGAAGAAGAGGCAGTAAATATATGTGCTCAGTTAGCTAGCTTTAATCAAAAATCCTAAATGTAGGTTTTAAAAAAGATATCTGGAGCAGGGTGGGAAATTATATTTTTTGCCAGTGTGGTGGCAAAAAATAAAAATCTGAATCGGTGTTAGGACAGTATTTCTGTGTTTACCTTAGTGCTTAGTAACGTGACTCTCCAGATCCACATATTAAGGACACCATGTATTTCAGACACCTACTTCAAACCTCACTTTACAGTTAAGTAAGACCAGAATTAGAATGATTTGCCCGAGGCCACACAAGTAGACAGTGGGATATTGAGAACAGAAAGATCTATTGACTCCTAGTTAACTTTTCTCTTACCTTACCACACTGTTAGGGAGTAACAAGATGGGGGGACCGCGAGTCAGATGAGAAAGGTCATGAAAAATAGTTAAAGGATGACTTTTCCTGGGTAATTAGCCGGATGTCCAAGAAATGAAATGCTGGTCTGGCAGCACATCGTCTAACAGTTGGTAGTCATATGCAGGAAGTACTGTAGGGGGAGATGACAGCAGGCCCAGGAACTGCAACGATCCAAGTGAGAGTCGATCCTGGGAGCGAACAATTACAGAGTCCGGGCAGGATGAAACAGTAGAAACTGGTGAGTGAATGAATGTGAACGCTGAGGAGCGACTGGAATTTGTTGGAGGGATTATGAGGCAACATAAAGTGGCTAATTATGGTGGTTGGGGTAAGCAGGAGTAAAATGATGTCGTAACTCCTCTCAAGGACACCAAAAATTATTTTAATAAAACACTGGAAGGCTGGGAATAAATATAATTCACACCGTTCTTTCTTGGTTTAGAGATAGCTTATCTACATTCTTACATTAATGGCTACCCTCTGCATGGCTGCAAAAAAAAAAAAAAAACCACACACACACACACAAAACAAAAAACAAAACCCGCTGCGAGTCTGCACGAGAAAATCGGGTTGCCAGACTCTAGGACTCAGCTGCCCGCCCCCTCGCCTAGCTGTCGGAGGCTAAATAAACAGCTCCCGAAGCAGTGTTTGGCACAGTGCACGGTCGGAGCGTGGACACTAATTTCCGCCCACGCTCCCCACGTCCTGGTCGGGTCACCACAGAACACGACGTCCAGTACTGGGGTCCTCGACGATGCCCGTGTGCGCACTCCCGCACATCTCAGGTCAGATGACCACTAACTTCGTGGCCACGCTCTGCGAAGCTAAGGGGGAAAAAGCTTCCTTGGCACAAAGCGTTAACCCGGTAGCTCGGAATGATCCCAGCACTGCTCCCGCTGCGCTTGCGGCCACGGGCGTGGGTAACGGGCCACGAGAAGGGGGTGGGGCGCCGCTTAGGTTTGGGAAGACAAGACGCTGCTCCTCGGCTTCCAGCGTCCACTTCCTACGGCAAGCAGGAGGAGACAAACAACACCCTGCGCTCGCAGAGCCGGCCCCGGCTCTTCCCTTCCTTGGCCTCAGGGGTCGTGTGTGAGAGTGTGTGTGTGTACGCAAGGACGCTAAGCGCCCATCGTTCTGTTTCGGTACCGATCCACCACCGTGGCGCCGAATCTTCCCCGCTTCCCAGCCCCTCACCGGCGTGCCCCGGAAGGCGCCCGGAGGTCCCCAGGCCGACGCGTCACACTCCCGGGGGGCTGAGAAAAAGCGAGGCAGCGAGGCCAGGAGCCCGGGGAGGCGCGCGGCGTCCCGCGGCGGGGCTGAGGGCGGGACTAGGTGTCTCGCGCAGGGGGCGGGGCACAGTGACGTCGCGGGCGCCCGGCAGTGCTGTGGCTGTGGCGGCGGCGGCGGCGCCGGGGCGGCAGCGGCAGCAGCAGCGGCAGCCCCGAGGAGGGTGAGACGGCCGCAGCGGCGGCAGTGCGGAAGTCGCGCGGGACCCAGAGCTTCCACCCTGTCGCTAGCGCTGAGGCTTTCGCCTTTCCTACCCGGCTTCTTGCTCACGGCCCGAGCTGGGCTGGGCTGGGCAGGGCAGGGCAGCGCGCCCCCAGGGAGGGGCGGAGCTGTAGGTGAGGCTTCGGGACCCTCTCCCCCTCCTCGCCAGCCCCGAGGGTGAGGAGGGGCCGGCCCCACCCAGACCCGTGGACCACCGGCGCCCACCCGCGGGCTCCACCCAGCCAGGCTCTGGGATTGGGCGGGAGCCGAGGCGGTAGATGTGGGGAGCCCCGGGCGGGAGGTGGGAGGCGGGGAACAGGGGCTCTGGGTACTCTGGGAGCGAGGGGTGGGAGGCTTAGGAGTCGTGAGACTGCGGACGAGGTAGTGGGGAGACGGGTAAATTAGGGAGCCTTGAGGTTAGGGTGCGGTCAGGGTGGATCTGTGGGTTAGGTGAGTGATGTAAAATGAAGATGATTCTTTTCATTTTGATGAAATGGTGAGATAAAAGATGAAGTGTTGTATTTCAAAAGGAAGATGAGCCTTGCATGTTTGCCTTTGAGGCAGTTGGAGAACCTATTGCACTAGATCTCACGTTTCTACTTTAGGGTTCGATTCTTTTTCTTCTGGCGGGGTGGGAGAGGAGGTGGGAGAGGGAAGACAATCCTCTTGCTTTGGCTCAGGTAAATTGTAAGCGTGGATGGATCTGAAAGTTTTACACCCAAGAGGGAGATCTTCGATTTAGACAACTTGGTTCTGGCACCCACCATTTGGGTATAGGTCGCATTACACTTAGCTCCTTCAAGGTGGTGTCTTCCAGTTTTTGTTTGTTTTGTTTTTTTCCCTGTGCCTAAAATATCTCTTTATACTTAGGCTTTATTGACCCTTTCGAGAAGGCCCCAGACTCAGGTGGTTGCTTTGGAAGACACATTTCTGAGTAATAGTTGCAGGTGGTTGTGGATGACTGCTTTGGGTGGATAAAGTGAACAATTTGAACAGTTCTGTTGGAGCTAATTACAGGAAAAATGCTTAAATGTTTTAAAGTACAACCGTCTTAACAGCGTGTTGCTCAGTAGACCTTGACTTTTAGACATTTTGTATTCAATGTTAAATTGTTGGATTTTTTTTTCTTTTTAAATAATTTTGCCATGGAACCTCGTATAGTCTAAACACATAAATCGTTGCATTTTTATTTCTCCTTTGCAGTTATATTAATTGCAGTCTGTATTAAAACACTTTAAAGATGAAATAAACTTTTTTTCGTAGGCCCGTCAATTTCTGAGAACTGTTCTTGGAGTCAAGTACTTTGAAAACATTTGGGGGGCATGTGTCTCACTTCGTGTGGAAATGTTGCTATGAGTAAGCAGCGCCAAGGTTCTCCATATCACTCTTTCACAGCTCAGCACTGTGAATCAGAGGTTTCTTTTCTGGATTCCCGCTCCCTGTTAGATTACAGTATTCACTAGCCCTTCTTATTGGTTAGTGTCAGTTAAGCTATTTCTTCTTCAGAAAACAGGTCCCACGATGACATGTATTATGTAATGGATGGCAGTAGACATAGCTCTCAAAATTCATTTATGCAGGAAGAGAAACTGTCATGAAGTGAGATTTAAGCAGTGACTTTCCCAAGACTTACCCAGGTTATTTGGGAAAATAGCCAGAGAAGTGCTTTCCTGTAACTCAAAAGAGAAATATACAGATGTGAATTTCAGTAGTTGCAGATCATTGCTTTTTCTAAGTGCCTACTTATTGAGAGATTATTGTCTTCCAGCAAATACTTGTACTTGTAGAGAGGTATGGGAAACATGATATAATAGGTATTAAGTGAGAAAGTGTGTGGTCCAATTTACAATTATAAATAAAAGATTTAATTAACTGTATTCAGTTAATTCATTTGATAAAGTGAATAGTTTTGACTTTGGATTAGTTAGAAGGAAGACTTAAAATGTCTAGTTTTGGCTTTTAAATTATACATAGATTTAAACAATTGGGACAAATGTGAATGAAGATACTGGGTAAAATTTGTGTGCACTCCTAAAACAACATTTGCATGGCTGTGATTCTTGTTCTTGGAATGAAATCACATAATTTGGGGGAAAGTCTGAGGTAAAAGTAAGCTATTTCATTTACAATTTCTTTTGCCTGAAAATATGCCTACATTTTATTTTTCACAAAATGTTGCTTGCTAGTCATTTCTTGTGATATCCATGTTGAGTCTCCTGAGGTGTTCTTTTTTTTCATTCTTTACCTACGTCATAGATAAGTCTGCCAGTCTGTTAATTCAACATTAATACTGTAAACTTGAAAGTGAAGGTTCTTATAGCAACAGCTGCTCTGTTTTACACTATGGTTACATTTAGAAGTAGTATGAAAGTTGTTAAATGTGCATTTTACACATGTTCTTTTGGAAACATTAATGGAGAAAGATCAAGGAATGAAGTATTTTGGTTAAGAATCAGTACATTGATTATCAGTTTTCAGAGACATAATAAAAACAACTTAGTTTACAGATTATGTGGAATATAATTTTTTTCTTATTTATTTATTTATTTATTTATTTATTTTGAGATGGAGTCTCACTCTGTTGCCCATGCTAGAGTGCAATGGCTCGATCTCAGCTCACTGCAACCTCCGCCTCCTGGATTCAAGTGATTCTCCTGCCTCAGCCTCCCAAGTAGCTGGAATTACAGGCACACGCCATCATACCGGGCTAATTTTTGTATTTTGAGTAGAGACAAGGTTTCACCATGTTGGTCAGGTTGGTCTTGAACTCCTGACCTTGTGACTTGCCTGCCTTGGCCTCCCAAAGTACTGGGATTACAGGCGTGAGCCATTGCGCCTGGCCTCTTATTTATTTTATTTTTATTTTTGTATGGAATATAATTTAAATCTGTTGCCAAGTCTTGCAGTGTATTAGAGTTTGGGTTTTAGAGTCAGAGTGCCTGAGTTCAAATCCTGGCTTTGCCATGGTATAATGTAGGGCAAAATGCTTAGTGTTGTTTATTTCCCAACCTTAACCTGTGCCTTAATTTCTTCATGGCAAAATAAAAGTGATATCAATGGTGTATATGTGCCACATTTTCCCTGTCCAGTCTATCATCGATGGGCATTTGGGTTGGTTCCAGGTCTTTGCTATTGTAAACAGTGCTGCGGTGAACATTAGTGTGCATGTGTCCTTATAGTAGAATGATTTATAATCCTTTGGATATATACCCAGTAATGGGATTGCTGGGTCAAATGGAATTTCTATTTCTAGGTCCTTGGGGAATTGCCACACTGTCTTCCACAATGGTTGAACTAAGTTACACTCCCACCAGCAGTGTAAAAGTGTTCCTATTTCTCCACATCCTCTCCAGCATCTGTTGTCTCCAGATTTTTTTTTTTTGAGATGGAGTTTCCCTCTTGTTAGGCTGGAGTGCAATGGCACGATCTCGGCTCACCACAACCTCCGCCTCCTGGGTTCAAGCAATTCTCCTGCCTCAGCCTCCAGAGTAGCTGGGACTACAGGTGCGCGCCACCATGCCCAGCTAATTTTTGTATTTTTTTAGTAGAGACGGGGTTTCACCCTGTTGACCAGGATGGTTTTGATCTCTTGACCTCGTGATCCACCGGCCTCAGTCTCCCAAAGTGCTGGGATTATAGGCATGAGCCACCGCGCCTGGCTGTCTCCAGATTTTTTAATGATCACCATTCTAACTGGCGTGAGATGGTATCTCAGTGTAGTTTTGATTTGCATTTCTCTAATGACCAGTGATGATGAGCATTTTCTCATGTTTGTTGGCCTCATATATGTCTTCTTTTGTAAAGTGTCTGTTCATAGCCATCAAAAACGATGAGTTTGTGTCCTTTGTAGGGACATGGACGAACCTGGAGACCATCATTCTCAGCAAACTGACACAAGAACAGAAATTGAAATACTACATGTTCTCACTTGTAGGCGGGTGTTGAACAGTGAGAACACATGGATACAGGGAGGGGAGCACTACACACTAGGGTCTGTTGGGGGGAATAGGGGAGGGACAGTGTGGGGTGGGGAGTTGAGGAGAGAGAGCAGGGGAAGAAATGCCAGATATAGGTGAGGGGGAGGAAGGCAGCAAATCACACTGCCACGTATGTACCTATGCAACTATCTTGCATGTTCTTCACATGTACCCCAAAACCTAAAATGCAATAAAAAAATAAAATAAAAATAACAATAGTACCTAACCTCTTTTTTTTTTTTTTTTTTTATTTAATTGAGACAGAGTTTTGCTCTTCTTTCCCAGGTTGGAGTGCAGTGGTGCATTTTCGGCTCACTGCA